GTGCAAATAATAGTTTATTTATCAAAGTTGAATTAAAGTGGAATTTCAGATCTTTATAATACAACGACAAATAATACAGTGTGTTTTTAGATCAAATTCAGGCATTCCTATCAAGAGAAATCATCTCATTGAAATATCTATATATATAGTAGCAGTCATTTATCTCACATTTTTATCAGTAATTAATTACTTTTTTATATGACGACATAAAACTGGGTTAACTTTCATGATTCTAACTCCTAAACATCTAAAGGTGAAACCACTTTGGTTCTTTGCAAATCATTTTTTAAACTGGTTAGCATTTATTGGAACCTGATTGCATTTTTAAGGATATTCATTTTCAAGAATTTTACATTTCAATATTTTAACTCTGCATGATTTGGTCTTTTAGGAAATTTAACATTTACAGATTCCACATCCAATTCACAAAATAATTCCCTCGCAAAAAGTTATTTGGTTATTTAATGGTATGTTTATGAAGCAGATGATTATGGTTTTGTGTGGGGGGTTTCTGATACAGCAATTGCTTGTAAGTTTGTGTTTAAAGAACCTGTAGTATCTTATTTACTATTACAAGAATTTTAAGAAAATACTATTGTGTTTCACCTTCATTAAAAGTGGTTCTAAGATCGTCAAAACCTACCGATCAGAGACCTTGCTGCCAGATGTAGTTTGCCATTATATTATGGAATTAACACGCTAATTCCATCTACATTTTACGCGCGCGCGAGTTTTCCTCCCTTCCTTCCACACTCGTGCGTGTGTGCGCGCGGTTTGCACCCCTTCCTCTCTCTCACAGCTAGACGTAGCAGTAATCTGGAGGAAGGAAGGTCGCTTGCTATAGCCCCTGCTGATAAAGTCAGCCTAACAGATTTTGAATTTTTTCCCGCGCGTTTCCTGGCGTCTCAAACGAACCACGTTTGCAAGCCAGTTGCTTCCCGATCTTCAACCTGACTAGACGGGCAACTCATTTATTCCGTGCCCTTTACCCATATGCGGTCCGGAATATCTTATTTCAACATGTCGACCTCACACTTTACCAAGACTTCTTCTCGTCTTGACGTTACCTGCAGGTCAGACCTCCGTTTTCGGCTAGAAAACGTCCGAGATACACAACACAGTCGTGGGCAGAATTTCGTATCAACAAGTGACTTATTTTTATCCCTCGTCAGCCAACCATAATACAGACAGGGATATCTTATGACCTCCGTTTTCGGCTAGAAAACGTCGAGACACACGACACAGTCGTAGGCAGAACTTCGTATCAACAAGTGACTTATTTTTATCCCTCGTCAGTCAACCATAATACAGACAGGATATCTTACTGACGAATAAATATTCTTCGTCCCTTTTGGCTCACCGTAAGTAATTTCACCAAGACGATGCAACTCACTACAAATAATTCTTCGTCCTTTTGGCTAGACGTCCACAACAATCCGATAAAATCTTCAGCAGTTAATTCAATGCCCGACCAAAAAAAACTCTGAGACGACTGAACTTTCTAACTACTTTGAACCTGAACCTAAAAAATTCACATACACTCACAGTGCCAAAATCCACAGTGAGTACTCTTTTTATCTGTGCACACCTACGCCTCGTGTTAACGAGTCCCTTTTTCCAGAACCTTATAAAAACCTTTTTCCCTCCTTGTCCATCTTGCTTTCCTGTTTTGGCGCGGAACATTTTCTCTGATCTCGCATAACGAGATAATCTACTTGTTTTCAATTTAATAAAAATTACACATGTTTTGCATCCAGACGCCTTTGTCATTCTATTCAGGCTATTATCTTTTTAATATTTGTAATTCATGCACGTGTTGAATGACCACTTTTCCTTCTCTATTGTTCGTTCACGCATTTTCTTATACATTGTTTGTGGACTCGGTAGTTTAGTGTAGTGTCTGGCACAAGGCCACTTTTAATAAACCAGCGCTGCACACTACCGGGTCCGCAACAATACCCAGGATGGAAAACTTTTCTAATTAAATAATTTCTTACTTTTACTACATTTTTGTTTTACGATTCAGAACAGATTTTAGGTACCTAGTGGTCCTGTTTGACAAAAAGAAATCTAAATATGAAGGGGGTGAAAATTTATTTTCTCGAAATTTCATGAAACTAAATCAGTCGGGGATAACAGATGTAAAAAAGAATTATTTTTACCAAGAAAAAAATTCTCAAATAATTTAATTAGTTTGTGAATAAGTCCTGAAAGTTTAATTAAAATTCGACAATTATTTGGTTTTCGCAAGAAATTCCAAATCAACGTGTTTTTCGCCGCAAAAAAAAAAAAACACTAAAATTTCCTATACTAATCTTTAGTCAGCCCGCCGTCCAAGACGACAAAATAAAAACAAATTTTTAACCAAAATTTCGAATGTTCTAAAAAAGATCAAAAGAATAATTTAATAGTCAAAAAATACTTTGACATTTCCTCTTCTTAAAAATAATATCGAAATTTTGACGATAATTGCTTTTAAGTTTGAGCCATTTTCTCATACTGCTATTTTAATGAAACTTCCAGGACTCATTGACAAATGAATGAAATTCTTTTAGAAATGTTTTTTTTTTTTTATAGGAAATCTTGGTAAAAGTAGCTTTATTTTTGCATTTGTTACTCGCCACCGGACAGTTATGAAGGATTAAGAAAAAACTATTGTGTGTTTCATTCATAATTCATGCGAAGAAACCAGACTTGGACATTTGGAAATCTATGTCTTCCTTCATTACAATTGTTCGTTCTGAATATCAGGATCAATTCACCTGGAGTGAAATCAGATTGCCGGTTCCTTAACAACAATTTTCTTTCAAATGCGCTTCTCTAAAAAGTACGTGTCATGGACAACAAACCCAGGTGATTATAACTTTTATCTGTTTATAGATTTTAATGAATTAGTCATTTGAATTATTTTACACAACCAAAGAATAACATTTTTTGATAAATGACTCAAATTCTTGATTTAACCCAGTTAGGAAATTTGGATGACTTTTTAATTTACCCCATAAACGACTTTTTTTGTCAGCTTGAAATTCGGCCCACACAAAATGAAAAATATAATCAGAAAATACATGGCAAAAAAAAAAATCGTGACAATTCAATATAAATTGTTTTTTTTTTTTGTTTTTTTTTAGTTTTTTTTTTAAACAATAAATTCTGGTAGGCCTGGCGAAGCTACGACGAAACACGTTTGCTAAGATAAGTTTTCATTCGTTTTTATTCATATATATATATATATATATATATATATATATATATGTATGTATGTATGTATTTATGTATATATTTGTGTATTTTTGCAGCAATCCTTCTTTCATGCACATTTATATAAATTTTTTCTTTCTCCAAATCCAACGAAAGTCTAATTCTGAATTGAACCGATTCATGGCTGGTAAAAGGCAGACAATTTCGGGCGACATTCTAAGGCCACATTTATCGAAATTCTTTTTGAAAACACAGCCAAATGAAAACACAAAGTATAATTGATTTATTAACAATTCCTTGAAATATTTATCGATTTGAATAGAAAAGGGTTTTTAAGTCCCCAAATAAAGGTTAAATTTCAGGGGAATAATCGACAGAATTCATCAGGAGTTATTTCCTCTCTATTTCGTTAGGGTCTCGGAAATGGTTCGAATAATTCCTACTTCGGCATCGTCTTGGACTCTCGTCCCAGATCAACTCTTTTCCAACATGTCCGACGAACGACATGCCGGAATTGAGCCCTTTTACTGCCTTTAGACTTTTTTCTTTTTATATTCTCTCTGCCCCTCCCCTTCGCTGGACCTTTGAGGGAGCAGTGTTAATCTATATTCCTTCGTGACACGAAGCCAGGCCAACCCCTATTTTTTCAAAAGTGGCACGACTGAGAAATGTGAGCAACTTATTCCTTAAGTAAACGAAATTATACAAAAATAAAAACGTGGGGGTGAATTCGAATCTGTCTCCTCCCCCGGGAAAGTCGTCTTAAAAGTCGTTAAAATGTCCAGCAAAACTAGTCGAATTTCGAAATATCGTTCAAAGAAGCTAAGTTGAGGAAGAAGAAAAGGAAAAGATTCGTTTGAAACAAGGAAACGAGTGGTGAGCTGCTACGGGATTATCTGTCCTTCTCAAATGAGGAGCGATATGTAGCTCTACAGGAAGATGTTGAGGATACCATGGGCCGATATGTGAGCAACAGTGATGCTTGGAGGAAAATGGAAACAAAATGGAAACTAATACTTAACCTCAAGAAGAGGATTTCGGGGGGGGGGGTAATGAGGACAGAGGGCTCGGAAAATCTAATCCTCACGGGGCAGATAAAGGGCAAGAGGCGAAACAACGCATGACATTGTTGGGGAGCTTGAGAAAATGGATGGCGGTACAGGGATTAGAAGAAATAATAGAAAGACAAAGTTTATTAAGAGCTGTAAGGGACGAGAAGTTGTGGAGAGCCATGATCGCATACGTCATGATGGGACACAGCATATACAGAAAATCGGAAAACTGAATACTTTAAAAAAGAAAATAAGTGGTATCGAGAGAGAAAATAAAGAAAAGCTAGAAACAGTTTTTTTGCGGGGGTGGGAAGTATTTTGTCAGTAATGATGTTAATGTGACACGACATTTTCTTTCTCTTTACAATTTTAATCAGATTAATGATGATGATGATGTTAGAGTATATTTTTCTTTTCTCTCTGTCGTTTTTGCTCACCCCCATGCCAATTTTCTGGAATAGACGAGCTGCTCCCTTTAATTTCAACCTGCTTTTCTATTCCGAACCCGAGAGTAGGCGGCTGTGTCTCTTCACAGAATCCGCCTGTTTCTGCAATATCTGTGAAGTGGCCATAAAAATAATAAAAAACCTATTTGGAATTTCCGTCTTAAAACAAAAAACAAAGAACAACCGACACTTTCTCGTCCTTGCCAATATCAGTCTGAAAATGGTTCCAAACAAATTAGACAAATTTCACAAAATTAACAACACACTCCCCCCTCTTGCGAAAAAAAAGTGACAGAAAAACGAATGAAAAAAAGAGAGAAAAAAAAAGAAAAACAAATAAAAAAAGAAAAAAAGAAAGAAAAACAGGGAAAAAGAAAGAGACAAAAATTAAAAAATAAAGAGAAACCCCCTTTTTTTTTACTGATCTCATGTAACAATATTATATAACAATTGTATATTTTTTAATGAAAAAGTTAAAAAAATCAGTGCAAAACAATTGCATAAATTTGCATAAATTCAAAAAATAGTCGATCCATCGAAATTGGTTTCGATCCATTAAAAAATTATGAAAATATCATACTTTGCCTCGACTCATCTTACGAAACTGAACATTTTCTCGACATATTTACCTCGACTGATATTGTTAAATCATCGAAAACAAAAAACAAATTGAAAAAAAAATTTATTTACAAACAGAAAAAATAAGCATCAAAATTTAAAAATAAAATTTATTTAATTTTAAAAATTTTCAATAAATTTTTTCCATCGTTTTCAAAAATAACAAACAATTTTTGGTCGGAAACAAAAATCATCGGATAATTTTCAGATTTTTTCGGAAATTTATACAAAACTTTTTCCGGAAAAACAAAAAAAATTCCTTCTTGGGTCTTTATTTCTACAAAAATCGGAAATCCTTTCTTTTATTTCCAACTTTTGTAGAATTTGTCCATTCTGGTTCCAAACAAAGATTTCGAACTTTCCTAATATTGCCCCCAACAAATTTCCAGTGGTCGGATCGGCACGAAAGAGGGGGATATAACCACCCACCCCCGGCAACCCCTCAGTATGGATTGTTTTTATTTTTTCACCATTTTCATTAAAACAAACAATTTCTTTCAAATCAAAATTACAAGCGAAAATTTTTTTGTCAATTTGACACAAAGAATAAAATTGATTTTCTTTAGTGTCAATTATTTTTTGCGTTTCTAAAAATGGTGGACATTTCTTTCGCGCCAAAAAGAAAAGTCTTCCTCCCTTCGATCCCCACAACCCCCACGGACAACAAACAACTAAAATGTCTTCGGGAAGGCGACACATGTCCCAGGGGCGGAATCCCTTTCCTCCATCCGTTAAGTGACATTGGCCGATCAATTCCCCAGACTCACCGAATTCTTGGATCGAATCACCGTGACAATCTCCAACAAAGACATGATTGTCTTCATCGCTGGCGACAATCGATGAAATACACAACGGGTTCGATTCCTGCAGACAGCATTCTCTTTCCAGCTGCAAATTCCCGGATGCCTCTGCCGTCCAATTGATCATTTCTTTCTTCAGTGACTCTAGGGAGTCGTGACACCATTTCGGAAATGTCACAAGCCAACGCCCTTTCTTGGGCGGAGCAAACGATTGGTGGAGCCGCGCAGAAAGCTCCGCTCTTACCAACCTCAGTCCACAGACGACGTCCTCATCGTCGGTGCCGTCCGTCAACAAATGGCGCAAGGTGTGACGCCAGATCTTCACCTTCTTTAAAAGGTCGTCTCTCTGCTTGATGGAGAGGCACCATTTTCTCTCTAGTTCGGACGCCGACGTTCTCATATTGTCGCACAGCTCTCTCAACTTGAGCCGTGCCTCTTGCACAAATGCCTCAAAATCCTGCCAGAGGTTGAAGCATTCGGAATCGCAATCCATTGACAGTTGCTGTATGGATCGCTTCGTCTGCTCGTTCGTCGCCTGGAGGCGGATTTCGAACTGGCGGAGTTCTCGCTCCAGGGTGGGGCCACCCTCCTCCTTCCCCTTCAACGCCTCCTCCCTCACCGACAGCTGACGAGACGGACACTGCGGGGAGACGGTCACGTGATCCTTGTAACATGCGTCGCATAGGCACACGTTGCACCGCTCGCAAAAGGCGTCCATGGATTGGTGGTGCTTGCGACAGTCTTCCGTCGTGATGACCCGGATGGCCTCCACCCTCGACAGGTCCGACAAGTCTTTGGTTCCGTGTCCGGGTTGGAATCTCTTGTGGAATCTCTGGCAGCTCTGGCACAAGAATTTCTCACAATCCTGGCACCAAATCTGGCTGGTCGATTCTGTCCCATCCTCTTCGAAACACGAATCGCACCTCCATTCTCTGGATTCCAGTTGACGGCGCCTAAAAGAATTTACCAAAAATGGTGCCAGCCTCAACTCGTCACCAATCACAGGCTGTTGGCACTGGGGACACTGGCCATTTCCTCCAAGAATCGTCTCCACACACGACCCGCAGAAAGAATGAAGACATGGTAACGTCTTCGATGCCAAGTCCAAAAATTGGTCGCATTTCGAGCATTGGAATGTCTCTTCTTCATTTACATTGGACGCCATTTAGAAATTTCTTCCGAAGATAAAATCAATCTGAAAAGAAAGAAAAGAAAAAAAAAAAAAGGTCAAAGTTCAAAATCAGAAAAAAAACGAAAAAAAATCCATTTCTAAAACTGGACATAAAATGACCCGAAATTTCGAGATTTTACAAGAAAAGTAATCGATTTTCAGAAAGTAAAATTGTTTTCTTCTAAAATCACAAATAAATGAAAGGGAGGAGAAGAGTTGGGGGTGAATGAAATATTGAGTGAGTGGGGAATAGAGAGAAGAGCAATGCGAGAAAAGGGAGGAAAGAAAGACTAAAAGAAACAGAGAGAGTGAGAGGGGCGATCCAATTTGCCACCTTCACAGTCACATTTAACATTCTCTTTTCATCAATTGTAATATTTTAGAATTTTAATATTTCTTCCGATTATTTTTTTAACTATCTTTGAAAAAGACACGTACAAGATGAAGACATTTTTTATTACCCCTTTCCAAGTTTGTTTTTGTCTTCTTCACTAATTATTGCCTAGTATGTTACAAGGCCAATAGAAGTTAGAAATATTAAGCACTACTTAAATAAAGTAGTCCACTCATAGAAAACGAAAATGATAAACTTTTTCGTTTTTTATTTTTGTTTTTTTCGTTTTTGCTTTTTTTTTTTTTTTCGACACAACGCAAAATCGATCCATCATTTTTAGACACATTTACTGGACTTTTATGTGTCTCAACGGCTGTTGTGATGTGTCTAGTGTGGTAGTCTGTAGTGGTAGTACTTGTCGCTTCTCGCTTTCAGCTACCGCCGCTGGCTGGCAGCAATGAGAAAAGGGGAGCCGAGGGCGTAAGTCTTCCCCTGCCAGTATATAGCCTCTCCATCAGCAAGCCCTATGGTGTGCCTCCTCTTAGCGACACATGGCAACCGGGCACCTTGCGGACTCGGGCTAAACTACAGGTGACGGGGGTGAGGGGAGTTGGCAGATAGATAGATAGATAGATAACATGCAGCATGCAGGCCCACCGGTGTATGAATACGCTCTGGTGCCCATGAACTAAACCCCAGCTATGGGTGAAATAGCTCCATTACCTTGTGGAAATCTTCGGGAGAAGAAAAAGTTAAGGAGTAAACCCTACAGTAAATCCAGAGTGGATCCCCTAAAGCGGATGGAAGGCACTCTGTGCTACCTTTCGGCAACTCCTGCAGCCGCGCTGGTACCAAACTGTATTGGTTCATCCTTTCGTTTGTTGGACTCTGCTAGCAAGGTCGAGAGGGGGAACTAGACGTCCAGGCAGCCCTAGTTCTCCATACATCACGCCCAGGCTCGTAAGCGCACCATAGTGCTACTCTCCATCGTCTCCCGAAACGGACGGATGCCGAACGACGACTGGACTTTCATCTCAAGTTTAAAATGAATTTTTCAAAATAAAGAATCTTTCTTGAAGCTTTTATTTTAGATTTAATTCAAAATTAAAAGATTAAATTTCCTATTTCTAAACAGATAGATAGATAGATAGATAGATAGATAGATAGATAGATAGATAGATAGGCAGGCAGGCTTCATGAGACAACAAGGGAGGGAAGGTAGTGAAGGGGAGAAATGAGGAATAAAGAGAGAGAAGGAAAGGTTGTATGAAAGAGAGATATATTTTTTCCTTTTCTTTTAAATAAACAGATAGATAGATGGATATAGACCAATATAAAAGTGAGAAGTGGGGGGGGTAAGAATAAGATAATAATAATAATAATAAAGCGTTTTTTCCCCATATGAATTCGGTTAAAAATAAAGAAGAGAAAATCCAATAAAAACCCAAAATTTTCTCGTTGTTTTCATTTGGAAATCGATGTTCCGTCATAGGAGCCGAATTGGACGAGAATAACTACACCTCACCCGGGGTGAAGGACGTTACATGAGATAATAAGAGAGGGAAAATAGGGAGGGAGGGAAAATGAGGAGGGAGAAAGGTGAAGGGGAGGAATGAGGAATAAGATAGAAAAGAAAGGGTTGCATGAAAGAGAGACATATAGAAAATGTAGACCAAAAAAAAATTTTCAATGAAATATTTAAAATATTCGAAGGTAAATTCATCAAGATTTGTTTAATGTCAGATCTACATGTGAAAAGGATGACAAAACTGAAAGAATCCAACACTAGGGAAATGCAAGATTGAAGAAAAAAATAATAACAATAAAATCTAATTAAAATTTAATTTAAATAAATTTAAGTTTTACCTGTGTACGATAAACTAATATATTTAAATAAATATATTAATAAGACACAGGGCAAAACTGCCGATTTTGTTCTCGGCTTCTTCATAGGAAAGTAAAAAAAACAATTGAATGAAGCAGACGATCTTAAATTATAGAAAATATAAAACCAAAATATAAAGTTCACAGATAAAATCTTTATTTTAACACAAAAACTATTGCATGCATATTGTTCCATATGCTAAATATACAGCAACACAACAGAATAAAAAACAAAAAAGGATTCACTACTTACTTAGTTAAATAATTTTGAAAGTATTAGTTTAAACTGACAACTTAAACATCTTTCTTTCTTTGACCTTTCCTTTTTTTTTTTTTTTTTTTTTACAGAAAAAAAAACTCGTTAATAAAATCTTTTCTTCTACAGGATGAGAGTTAATTTCTTCAGATACATTTATCTTTTTCTTCTTCAGAATTCTTTTTCTCTTTTTGTTTTTTGGAGCTGAAAGGGAAAAATAAAAAACACAACGCCTAACCTAGGCTAATAAGATTTAATTTCAAGATATCTATTTAAAATATTTTAAGATCTTATTTTAAATAGAGAACGACAATGGAGCAAAATTCCCTGCATCGAATGACTCTGCAAAAAAAAAAAAAAAAAAAAAAAAAACCTTGACTCTTCGAGTCAACAATATCAACAAATGAAAGGCAATAATTCCTTTTCTTGGAAATAAAATTACCTCTTCCAAATAAATGTCTAACCTCTATCTTAGACAAACCTGGGGTAAATCCAAAAACTTATAAGTCACAAAGTACCTTTGTTATTTTTAACAAACATCTACATTTGCGTCAATACCTCAATAGGCCTTAGAAGTCAAAATAACTTTTCTCAAGTTATATTTAAACAAATTTATAACTTTTCTCAAGTTATAATAAACAAATTTTAGCTTCGGAATTCTACCGAAGCTAATAAAAAATCTTTTCTACAAAGTCGCTCGATACGAAAAATTCACCATCTCTTATTCCCATCCCTAAATAAAATCAGATGGATAGTAATTAAAGAGTTATTAATTAGATTAATAGCAATACAATAGTTTACATCAGAAATATTTGGGTTCCTAAATCTCCATCACTGGCAAGATAAGCCAGTAATGTTTGCATTAATTCCTGACTCTTCCTACGTGATTTCTAATACATACCCTTATCAACTCTTTTCTCCTCCAGAAGTAGATTGTTTGTGCCGACAGTGAAGAAGAAGTAATTCATACGAGATAAGGTGCTTGTCAGTGATAAGAAAAGCTTATTGCCCTCATTTCAAATGCAGTCAAACTAGATAGTACTTTGGCAATTGCTGTGTCCTACTTTATCTAAACATAACAGCCATGCAAAACTGGTTGACATTCTTTTCACTGGTTTCGAAAATAATAATTTAATAATGTAGATTTAGAAAGCATCCATGTTGTCTTTTTCGATATATATTTTTATTTAGAGATGAATATTGGTATATCTATTATACCAAAATTTATGAACCCAAATATTTCTGATGTAAACTATTGTATTGCTTAATCTAATTTACAATTACTTTCAAATCATCTATTTGCATATTTTACGTAGAATCATTTTACTCTATTCATTGTCTTTTATTCGAAAATGTTTCACCAGGGTTACTTTACGTCAGCCCATTTCAAAATAGCAGTTGGACATATTTTATTAAATTAATTCTTCATTTGAATAATAAATATTTTTTGTGCAATTTTCTGATTCAAAATTGACATGCGTTAATTTCTGAATTTTATATTTTGTATGAAATTAAAATCTTGTCTAAAAAAAAATCAATAATTTTATTTTCACCAATGAAATTTCGGCCATGTTTAACCTACGTAGCCGCAAAGAACAGTGTTTCAAAAGGACAATTATTCAATTGACACCGCTATAACTGTATCCTTTCCTCTCCTTGGTTTATGAGATGAGAAAAAGATACGATCTAAAAAAACACAGTGCGATATTTATTTATCTTTTATAAAAATTTATTTTTTACCATTTTATAAAGAAATACATTGCAAAAGAAATCTTTATGCAAAATTACAAAATTATCAACATATTTTACGGTACCATTTTATCTTTTTTACCATTTTATTTAACCGTTTAAGAAACGGTAAAAATATAGACATAAGGGGAAATGTGTCCACCCAATGAATAGGGAGATACGCACTCGAAATATTGACTGTTTGTGGTTTGACTAAAGTCTAAAATGAAAAGAATGTTTTATTCAGAAGATATGCTCTTGTTAATGCTGCTTTCCTTAAATGTTGGGGTTACCAATGTAAATAGTGTTTTGTTGAAAAGATTAATGTGGCTGCGTGTTGAAGAGCATTGAACATTTATACATTTTTTAAATCAAGGAAAAACAATGGAAAACCAATTTGTGTTTTAACGAATAAACATATATATTAAAATCAACAACAAATACAAGGTAATTTTTGTAATGTGTGAATAAGGAGAAAAATTAGTTTCCCTTTATCTGTTAGTTGAAAATGGTGATATTTAAATTAGCAAGTTTTCTGAATATAATGTTCAGAGTTCTGTGTTGAAATAGGATGTGTATTCAGAAGAACATACAGAAAGTTCAATTGTATATTTGTCATAACTAACAGAGGTGTTGCAACTTGGCTTGTTCACAAAGAATTGATGGTGAATTATATTCAAGTTCTCTGTGTGTGTGTGTGTGTGCGTGCGGGGTGAGTGGAATGAATAATCTTTATAGACGCGTGTGAGTAGTTGAGTTCTATTGTCTTCAACTGTCTTGGTTTCAACTCTACTGGTTGATTTGGGAATGAATCCGAACTTATATTACTATCGGTGGCTCCCAGCCCGAACGCGGGATACATTTTGAAAGAATATGAAAAATATCTGACTGGATGAAAAATAAACCAATCGGTGATTTTGTATCAAAAACATGTTTGTGAGTTAACGGTAGGAAAAATTCAGTGTAGTGAATGCGATCAGTAAATTGTCCTGTGATATTTAGTATATATTATTTGACCAATCACAGTTGAGAAAAATGTAGGCGTGGCAACATAGTAGTAATCACTACACTTTCAACCGATTTTAGCGAATTTAGGCGGTGAGTACAAACGACAAATGACCCGGAAGAAGTATTTTTTCGAAATTTATATTTAGTTTCTTGTCGTTATCTGTTTATTTAAATTTTCTTGATCGCAGGCATTTTTTATAAATTTAGGAATAAAAAATCTTTTCATATTTATTTCTTTATAAAATGGTAAATAAATAAATATTTCATTATAGTTGGTTTACATAATTTTATAATCTTGTAAATATAAATTATTCTTTTAAAAAAGCAATCTAATGAATAAATTATTTAATACATTTCTTGTCAAATCCTCAAGACTAACCCGAACTTGTGAAAGCGAATTTACATTTCTAATGTTTATAAATCCACTTTCATATGTTTATGTTTTATTAAAATTCTAATCATCGCTTTTTAAAACAATAAAAATTGCTGAGGGATTCAAAAGTGTCTACAGTAATAGCGGCGTCAAGGGAATAACCGTACTGTGACGCACACTTTTTTTCTCATACGTTAACATCGCCAAAGTCTTCAAAAGAAATTACTTTAAGACTATGAGAAAAAAACTCTGCAAAATATAAACTTTAGAATAGAGTTATTCCCCTTGTTACACAAAAGTGGCCAGGACGTCGACCCGGGCTGCGTATTAAGTTACGCTCCCATTGTTTTTTGTCTGCCAACCTGACGATAGTTGGAAACTTTGTTTTCTCCCTCTTA